AATTCCACATGAAGGCAACATTCCGGCAGATGATGCACGTGGGAAGACAGACACTTCATGCAGATGGTGGCCAAAAATTATGTAAGTAGGACATTATTTTCTACCTTAAAAATTTATTTCAAATAACGTCCGCACGCGTGGACTGTGCGACCAGGAGTCGAACCCCTGCCGTTTAATCGGAGATATCTCGATTATAGAAGGCCAAACCACATCACTGGCCGACTTCCTCTACTTCGCAATTGAGGTGTCGTGTGTGCTTTTTGCGTGGGAAACGAAAGATCGTCCGGACAAAGTGCGTGAAGTGTGAAATCGGACTCTGCATTTCCGGATTTTTTTGAGAATTCCACACGAAGGCAACATTCCGGCAGATGACGCAGGTGGGAAGACAGACACTCCATGCAGATGGTGGCCAAAATTATATAAGTAGGACATTATTTTCTACCTTAAAAATATATTTCAAATAACGTCCGCACGCTCAGACTGTGCGACCCCATATGGGGTCATTCGTACCGCTGACTTTATTTTTGCGACCCCATATGGGGTCTTTAGTCGTTTAAAGGTTAAAAATTTGACGACCTCCACCAGGTATTTGAACCCACATACCACGAGTGATGAGGTGGGAACATTACCTCTAGACTACGGAGGCCGCTTAACATTAAGGTTAGATTCTGCTGAATATAAAGGGAGTATGCCTTGCATACAATGATCAAGTTTCAGAGTGATTTCCTACCCAGAATCCTGTTATAATTTTCTCTTTCTCACATGAGCATTCCATCACAATTCCCTCCATAAAACTATGGCAACACTATTATGAGAAAGTGTGCATCATTAGATTTCTGTCTTCATTTCCCTTAGAGTGCATGCTTCTTAGGTCCTACATTCAAGATATTTATAGTAATAATATTTTTATACCTGACATGCATCCTTGCCCCCATTTGGATCACCTGCGCAGAGTTGAGAACTAATAATACCTTCAGGGTAATTACGTCGGGGGACGAGAGGGCTGGAGTATGCTCTCATACAGTCAGTGTTGTTGAAAACTGTCACACTAACTTCCTGCAACACAGGATTCCTTTCCCCTCCTGAAAATCATGAATAAGGACACTGACTATACAATACAGTTAATCTAGATTTTCTTTCAAATAGGTAGACTGTACAAAGAAGTACAGAACATAACATTAAAAGGAATATAATTCTGTTCTTTCAGTGCTGCATGATCAATAATTTAAATGTCTTAGATAATTTGTTAAAATTCATAAATCTTACTTCTAGCAAATAAAATAAAATCTGTTAAAAATATAATAATTATTCATACCATCATAATTATGGTTGCTATTGTTATCTGTTGGTTATGTCCAAAAGATATGTAGTCTGGAACAGCAAGATATACACAGCCCTGATATAACAAGGATCTCTGTAACACAAATCTGACAATGATCTGTCCTTTTTCCACCAAAAATTTAGACACTACTTAGCTATCTTACAGGCCTTGTTTTCAAGTACGTACAAGCATGTGGTAATCCTGTGCCTTCTTCCTTTTCTTACTGACAAACACTGTGAGAAAGAAGACAAATTCATGACCAGAAGAGGTACAGAAACCGTTAAGGCCATAATTTCCTACTGGACCAGGATTATTACTGCATTTACATTAACTGAGCTGCTTTATGACTTTCTACTTTATGTTTGACAGAGAACTTTAAAATGAATATGTGTGTGTAAACAGCAAGTCTGTTTTATTACATATTATCTAATTTCATTTTATGAAAATGTTATTATTGTCCATAATAATTTATTTGTGGAACTTTTAACATAATAGTTAATATTCAAATGTCTTTT